CTTTGCGTCAATTGGTTGCGTGCTAAGGTACTACCTAAACAACACTTCGCCTAAGTAACAATCTACAAGTCGTTTTTGTGAATCTAGACTTTGAATAACGAATTAATTCTATGATCTTGTCTCCTTTCTGCTTCATGTTTTTGATTTGCTATTCTATAAGAGGAGCGAGAGTTGGATGGTGTTTTTGGTAGGTATTGGTTGGCCAAGAAGGTGCTTGAAGATTGACTTCTCTTGGGAAGAGTCCCGACCCTTGCTACTGAACAGAGACTATTGTATTTTCTATCATGAAAACAAGGGGCGAGCGAACATTCACGCTCTGAGAAAACTCTCAGAACGTCGTACGCCTCTTACAGCCTCTTGTGAAGGTCCGCTCGCTCTGCGACTTCTTCTCCAGATGCTTCGTGCCTTTCAGAAGTTGATTCGTTCGCGGCTCGCGCATGCTTGGAAGTCGCGCTCGGCGGACTTCGGCTGGCAAACCTTCTGCCTGCTGCAAAAGCCTTCTGCCTCTCAAAAGTGATTCTCGCGCACGTGCAGATGGAAGGCGCGCTCGCGACTTTTGCTCTAATTGTTTCTGACTCTCAAATCTGCTTGTCGAGCCCGCGTAGGTGGATGTCGCGCTTGCGACTTGCTTTTTCTAGGTGTGGGCTGCGCGCGCGTCCTCTGGTAGCGCTCGCGACTTGGGCGTTTTCCTTTGTTGCGACTTGCTTCGCGGCGTGAGGGCTGAATTATGGATTCTTTCCATTTTTTAACTTGTTTTGGCCCTATTTTTGTATAGAACAAATCTTTGCTCCAACTGTTTTCCTGAAATTTACTTTGAAACAAAAGAAACAAAAACAACACGAATAAACGTAAAATGTACAAAAACAATCATGCATTCATGCAATTTATATAAAAATAACATAATAAGATTTGCCCGTTTTGCGAGGCTATCACATCCAACGCTCAGCAGGTGGAGACCAACCAATATGAACCTAGTGAGTAACATTAACCGGAGAAGAAGAGATTGAAAGCATAATGTCCATAGATACCTTAAATCACAATGAGTCATCTAAGAAGAAGACAAAAAACTCATACTGAAAAATATGCAAATTACGTGCTTTTCACACCCACCAAATGCTAGCTAAAAACCAATGCTTCCAAGAAAAACCCAAGAGACCCAATGAATGATTATTAAGATTATGAAAAATACAAACAACTATATCATCCATTACAAAAAACATCTACAGGTACTTGCCATTGCTACCACCAAAGTTTAGTAACCGGATAATCTCTAAACAAATGCAAAAAAGATCACCATCCTTATTACAAAAACCACAAATTAGAATGAGAAATCCCACGAGAGAAACGAAACTCATTTGTAAGAGTTCGTCTATGAGCAATCAACCAAATAAAATGCTTTAACCACAAAGAAAAAAAGGAACCAAATAGATCCTCCAACTAAAAGTCCTCAAATAAAAGAGTAGAGTAAGCAGCACATATCGTATAATCAACCATTAGAAGAGAAGCCTCAAACCACAAAATCAAAAAGAGAAACCACAAAAGCAAGAGGAACAACCTGAACGTAAACCTTAATAGTCTCGAATCAATAAGTTCTCAAATCTGAAAAATCCAAAGAAACATCTCGAATAATAGAAGGCACACGGTAATGCTCGTCCCCAACAATATTAACATCAACCAAATCAACCAAAAGTCCCACAAATTACCAATTATCAAACTACAAATTGATTTGGTGCCCATCACCAATTCGCCAGGCAATATGAAAGGAAAGAATGTTAAAACTGCGAACAATACCCCACCATAAGCTAGATCTATTCGACTTAAGCAGAGGAGGAAAAGAAACATCCCGACAGTACTTATGAAGCAGAACTTAAACCCAGAGAGCCAAATCATTAAGAAAAAGCTTTCAACCCAACTTGCCTAACATAAAAATATTACGCAAACGAGTACCTTTAAAACCACGGCCTCCAAATTTGTTAGCCCTAATGAGCATATGCCAACCAACCCAACGAATATGCTTACGAGTCGAAGGAGAGCCCCAATAAAAATTCCTCGAATATTTATCCACCATACCACAAATAGCATCAGGTAACCAAACTGTCTGCATAGAATAAATAGGTAAAGAAGAAACAAAAGATTTAATAAGGACTTCTTTGTTTGCTGAGCTAAGCAATTTAGATCGCCAAGTAGCAAGATGAGTTTTAGCATTATGAATAATACTGCTATAATGCGCAACAGTAAAATGCCCATGAAGAAGTGGGACCCCTAAATACTTACCCAAAATCTGAAGTAAAAGACCACCCCAATAACAGTTGAAATCTTTAGAAAAAAAATTTTGGATTTGGCAAGATTAGCTTTGCTAGCTACAAGTACAAAAACCCCACGATACATCACAAGCAAACTTTCCTTGCTTTAAAGTAGCTTTCCCAAAAATAATAAGATCCAATTCAAGGATAGAGTTTCTACTGATAGGCTACATTATAGGAAAGACTCTTGCGCCTTTCAACAAATAACAAATGACTAATAGGAAGGTCACCACTTGAAGCTCTGATAAAAATCCATTTTGTAGAAAGAATCTGCAACTGAATCAACAAAGAAAGACCTTCCATGCAAAGCATAAAAAGATACGAAGAAAGAGGTCACTCTGTCGCAAACCTCAAGAGGGTAAGAAGGGATCAGAAAGACTCTCATTCTAAAGAATAGACAAAGAAGAATGAGAAAGAACACTAATAATCAAATTCACCCATAAAGCAGAAAACCAAAAGTAGCAAAGTAAATCTTAGATAATCCCAATTTACGCTAGGCTTTTCCAAATCAACCTTAAAAGAAAAATGACCAACCTTGCTTTTACACCGGCGAAAAAGTATGCAACAACTCTTGAGTAATAACCACATTATCAATCGTAGTATGATCCTAGATAGAACTACTTTGGAAAGGACTAATCAGACTGCTAATATAAGACTTCAACTGATTAGTAAGAACCTTCATAACTACCTTATACAACACACTACAAAGAGCAATATGATGAAACTAAGAAATCAACTCAGGTGCTTGAATTTTCGGAATAAGTACTATAAAGCCATGAGCAACCTCTGCAAGCATAGAGCCAGAAGAAAAAGTATAAGAAACAAAGGCTACCACCTCATCCCCAACAATATCCCAATATTTTTTTAAAAAAAATAAAGGTTGAATACCATCATGTCCGAAAGCCTTCTAAGAACCCATTTCCAAGACTGCCTTCCAAGCCTCATCACGAGTGAAAGGCAGTATTGCGATACCTTACTTACTTTATCTTATCTTACTTCAATAAATAAACTTTCAATCATTTCCATTCCATCTCATCCAAATAAAGTCTAAGATTCAATGTGTAATTGCACTAAAATTGTGAAAAGTAGTAAAATAAAAAGGAAAATTCAACCATACTTACAATATAAACCCTAAAATAAAAAAAGTCACAATGTATGATATGTGTCTCATTCAAATCTGGCTTTGGTTGGACTGCTTCTAAAGGTTTTGGGTTGAAACCCGATCCAATCCGACATGGGCTAGGCCCAATCACTGAAGATTTGGATTAATTTAAAAAAAAAAGGGGGTTTTGGGGTGAAACCCGATCCAATCCTACATGGGCTCATTACGGTAACCGCTCAATAAAACGGTATCCCAACTCAATAATCTTACTTGCCCTAGCGAGCGAAACTTGGCGAGAGCGAGATACTTCGAAAGCCAAAATCTGCCTTTGAGAAAAAGATTTTGCTCCGAATCTTCGCATTTTGTTCGTTACTTAGCAGCTATTCTTTATCTATCTTCATCTAATAATTCGTTTTATAGGTACTGTTTTCAATCTCATCGCTGTATGAATTCTCACTTTCCGTTTTGTTACCAAGAAATTGGAGGAAATTGGAATTAATTGCTTCTTATCTTTTTAGCTAACATTTCAATCACGTATGGTTTAATTCATTCCAGTCGGAGATAGATTTACCTTTTATGTTACCTGTATGTTATATATGTTAGGCTCTGTAGTTCAGTGAGTTAGGGTTAGCTCGTTTGTAGTGGTTTTCTTAATGGTTTTGTCAAGAGGAGGAGGTGGTGGAGAAGAACCTATACTATAGTTGAGTCTTTAAGTTGTTTTGGTGTTTGACTGTATCAAACTTCGATAGGAATTAGATGATAGACTTTTTTAATTTGTTTTACTCCTAACTGCTTTTATTTTTTTCTAGTTTCTTTCGCATCTCTGCCTTTGGAGAATTTGTGTTGCAGTAGAAGTTGGTGTGTTAAAATGATTAGGACTAACTACCATTTAGAGGATAATCTCATAATTAGATATTATTTTTCTTTTTTTGGATATTTTATTCTGTTTCTTGAGCCTTTTTATTTTCTTAGTTAGAGTGAATGTAAGGTTGATTTCAATAATATTAATGAACATTGTAAGTTTTGTAAAGCTAGAATGAAAATTTGGAGGAGATATTAGTAAGGTAATATGTATCTGTGTGTGCGCTCCTCAAAGCTTACTACTATACATTTAAACCTGAATTTGAAATGTGTTGCATGACTAAGACTAAAATAACATGTAATTACTGTCCCTCTAGGATCTTACCTTATTGTTTAAATTATGTTCCGTTCATGAAATTGTATCTTATTATATGTCTGAAGTTGTTGAGGACTTGAGAAAAGTGGAGGAATAAATAACATATGCATGCACATACTCATGAATTTCTGTTAATTTCGATATTGAAAAGTAAAATATTGATCCTAATTAAGCTTATTTAGTTATTTGTTTGCATTTTCTATCTATCTGGTTTTTCTATGGTGATGAGCAAAACCTAAAAGTCAACTAAAGGGTATAAAATTGTTAGTTTGTAGCTGGTGAAAATAATATAAAGCTTCCAGAATGCCATGTACTGATATCCTTAATTTGGGTAGCTAATTTTTTATGTGTTTGTTTTGGATGCAGCTGTAATAAGTTTTATTTGCAAGGCTGTTTGTCCTCATAGACAATAGTTAAAATGGAATTTGATGAATATGACTACCTGGAGAAAACAGTTGAAAACCCTGAAGCTCACAAGGCAAAGGAAACTGCCAATGGTGGTGATGATTCCATGAAGACAGGGGAGAAAGAAAGCAGCCGGAGTTCGAAACATAAGATCAGTGAGAAGGATGATGGTGATGATGACCATCATCGCTCAAAGCGCTCAAAATCTGGAGATGAATCTCGTGATCATGACAGGCATAAAGAAAAGGGTTCATCTCGTCATCGTTCGCGATCCAGAGATGGAGAGAGGGATCGACATCGGAGTAGCCGGGAACGTAGAGATAGAGATAGAGGTAGGGATAAGGAGAGAGACAAAGATAGGGAGGAGAGAAATGAGAAAGAGAGGGACAGAGACAGAGATAGAGATCGAGATCGGGTGCGAGAACGCGAACGTGACAGGAAGGATCGGGATCGTGATAGTGAAAAGGAAAGGGACAAGGAGAGGGAAAGGGAGAGAGCACGTCGGAGCAGGAGCAGATCAGAAAGGCATCGAGATGAATTGGATGAAAAGGAGAGAGAGAAGAGCCGGGACAGGGAGTACAGAGAAAGAGAAAGGGAGAGGGAGCCTAGGGAATGGGACCGAGAAACCAGGTATTCCTTATTTTTTATTTTGTATCTATTCCTGCTATAATACACTCCAAATGCATTGTTACTAGCATAACTCCAAAAAGTTAGTTTTTCTCTTTTCATTTGTCTGGTTTGGTAGTACTCTGCTTTTCTCTAGATTGCTGTATGTATAATGCACCATAATCTTTAGTTGCAACCTGCGGATGTTAGCGTGTAATGTCATGTAGTGTAGAAAACTTATGGACATTGAAACTCGCTGCAGTGCATTTGCACCATATTGTGATGATGTACGAGACCAATCAGGACATCTGTGTTCTCTAAATTTTTGGACTTGTGGAGTGCCTGAACTGTGGTCTTTCAAATTCAGCTGGTCCCTTATTTGCTTCTTTCTTATTCTATGTTTGTGTTCTACTCTGGGTCTCATATCAATATCTTTCCCTTCCTCTGAAATTGGCATGCATGCTCTGCGTGCAACCTCATTTTTAAGCTTATTTGAGATTTCCTTCCTTTCATTTGGGGTTGTTTGGGGATATGTGCAACTAGTTTTCTTAGACATATATAACAAACAAAACTGAGATTGACGTATCAAATGGATAAGTGAGAAGCATGAAAGGAGTATAAGTGTTTTCGTTCAACTCTACCTAGTTGGCACTCTAATAACTTGGTTAATGACTTTTCCACTTTTATTGATCTCTATCCAAATTAGAATACTGAACTAGATTCTTGGTTTCTGTTTTTTATTTATTCTTTTGAAAATTGTTACTTTTTTTTTTTGTTTGGTTCTTTTGCACGATAGAGTTCTTTACCAAGGTTCTCAATTAGGGTCTCTGGTTCTGAGTTCTTTGTGAACTGCTGTGCATTTCTATTTTTCCTGCAGTATATCTATCATTGTTCTGCATTATTGGAGGGGGATACATGTTTATTGGGATTCTTGCCTTCTGCAAATATTTTAGATGAGGGTGGTGGATATTCTTGTACGGGGTATTTTTCTGCCAAAAAAGAAAAAAAATCCGCTGAAAGTTCACCATTTTAGATTTTAGATTCTTCGGATTTTCACATCTTTGTTAGTGTCTCAGGGTAACCTTTGTGAGCTATCTAGGCATTAAATATGGTCCTATGGTCGTTACAAGAAAGTTGGGGACTCTTTCTTTTTGATATAGATGATTGTATATGGCATGAGTCTTAATGAGTTCTGACTTGGTGGTAATAATTTACGCTTTAGGATTATGGACTAATATTCATTCCTGTGGCGATGTAGAAGTTTATCATCAGTCTGAGATTACGTGCAGAAGTTTATGTATTGGTCACTCATGTCTTTGAAACTAACATCGTATGGAGATGCTTGCTTCTTATTGTTAGGGTCCTGTTACATTAGTTCTACTCGATTTTTTGCCCATTGCTTTTGGATCATGAACCTTATGTTGTATGGGAAAATACATTTTGAAGATAATCCATCTTCTCTTTGTCATGGCTTTTGTTTTGTCTGTTTCTTTTATCGAGTATAATTCTCCAACTCTAAAAGGTTTATACTATACTTGACTGAAATTTAACACTAGTAGCTCTTGAGTTTCGTATAGTTACTTGTGCTATTGAATGTATTGAAAATTCTGAATATTGAACATTAGATTCTGGGAATCGCAGATGTGCTAGAGCAATCTTCAGATGGTCCTTCTGGCAATTGGGCCAGGCACAGGAACTCAGGTCATGGGTTATGAATGTTTCTTCATAGACTTTGTGGAATCATCTAAAACCTCGCACTGCAAGATTGGATTCAGTGTTGAGGTTTTTCCAGGATGGTGATGCCATGCTGTGGTTTCCATTATCCACCACCTTTGAACTTAGTTGCTTAATCAATATTTATTCTGTTGCAGAAATGCTGGTGAGAGTGGGGGCTTTGCTTAAGAGAAGTTCTTCATCTTCTGATGCTTGTGGGGAAATCAGTGTTCAGTGGGCTAAGATTGGCCTCTATTTTTCCCCTGCTTTTATGAATAGATTATGTTATTCATAATTGATTGGCTATCTTAAAGATTTAGGCTTTAGGCGAAAAGTGGTGCGCTCCGATTTTTGTTGGGTGTTAGATTACCTAACTTTTCGTTCCTTGTTACACTGGACTCAAAATTTGTGTGCAATTGTTCTCAAGTTGGCCTCAGGCTGTCTTCTCTGAAAGAATATCTGTAGAAATTTTTATTGGCCACGTCATTACTCCAATGAAACTCCTTTCTTTTGTCCAGTCTATGTGATTGTCTTCTTTTTCACAATTTCTTTAGGCGGTTCTTTTACTCTCTACTCTGTATTTAAATAAGAAACTAATTTCAGTTGAAAGTTTTTGGAGCTACCTCATTTTTAAGCTGTTCCCTTCCCCTCTCCAATTTCTTTCTCATAACAGCCTCTTAGCCAACTCCCTATCTTGCAATCTTGAGTAGCTTGACAGTGTCTCTTATTGTTCTTCTGTTGCACTACTGTGATATGTTTGTCTTATCATCTATCAAAGATACGTTCTTCTTAACTTTTTTATTACCATAATCATAATTTTAATAAGTTTGCAATTCTCTTACTGGTGATGAACTGTGGTCAATAATATTAGCTGAATGCTTTTATATAGTGATGGCCTTTCTTTTTGTTTTTTGCTTTTTTTTTGGGGATACACTACTTGAAATGGAATATAAGTTGTTAACAGGTTCTAAACTATTGCAAATAGGTGCTTTGGTATTGCCATCGATACAACTTGATGATGCTGTTTCCCTTTAAGATTATGTTTTTATAGAAGGTACAAATTTATTGATTCGTTACTCGAACTCGAATTATGTACTTGACCATGTGGTCTCAATTTTTCCATTCCTCTTAGCCATTCATTATTCTCCAGGTTGGTTCTTATTAAATTTTAATGTCACATATATTAAATTTCAGCATACACATTCATCAGTCCTGTTATGTTAACTTTGTGTAGTTCCCTGCAGGACCATGTTACAAGGGTTCGGCGTTTTTACTCATAGTGGAGAAATTTTGATGCCATTTTGGGATTGTTCTTTTCTGCCTTTTATTTATTGTACTATGTAGCAAACCTGTTTAAAATATGAAACAAAAGTTGTTCTTTCATTTGAAGGAGCGACATGCCTTTAAATTATTATTATTTTATGAATGTGTCCTGATTCATGGCTTGTTTTGCCACTGAAACTGTTTGTTGTAATTTTTGCTACTGGTCAGACAGTTGTGATAATGATTTTCATTTTCGTTATATTGCAGAAGATATAAAGAAAAGAAGGAAGAAGTTGCAGAGCCAGAAGCTGATCCAGAACGGGATCAGAGAACAGTATTTGCTTATCAGGTAAATACAGATCTATTTGAGCTGAAAGTTAAATTGCATCATCATGCCTTAGGTTTTCTATATACCCTATCTGTAATGCCAACTTATGATTTTGTCAAAAAATTTTACAGATATGTCTGAAGGCGGATGAGAGAGATGTCTATGAATTTTTCTCGAGGGCTGGCAAGGTTGGTTCCACATTAGTTGGTAGCTATAATTTTTTTTACAAGTTTTATTTCACAGTTTCTATCACAATTTGATCTACGTTATTTCTGATATACATAACCTGTAAACACATCTGCTCTGAGATTGTGAAAAGTTTTCAAGTGTATTTGTGAAGTCTAGTGGAATCTAAATTATAGGAATGGATGATCTATGCTACGAGCTTTGATGAAGCTTATATCTCCATATTTGGAGAAGCAAGCTGAAGTCAAGTTCAAATTCACTGCTATTAAAATTAATTCTTTGTTTCTGCATTCTGTGCATGCAAGAATAAAGTTTGTTCTACCTTTCTAATATTCTTATTCCAATCTTTTCAGGTTCGAGATGTACGTCTCATAATGGATAGAAATTCAAGGCGTTCAAAGGGAGTTGGGTAAGTTCCAGCAAATTGAAAAAACCACCAAATCTTGGATTTTTTTATTAATAATAATTGATGAAATGTTTCTCTTTCCTGGTTTCATTTATTGTTTGAGCTCCTATATGATCAAGCTCTAGGTTTATTTCTCATTTTTGGTGGTTGTTGTGTTGGTTTATTTTGTATTGGATAATGGCATTTAGAGCACTAAATCTTTGAGAGTTTCCAGTTCAATGCCTTACTATTCTGTTGGAGTGAGAAGGTAGATTTCAAGTCTCTTGGCATTTCTGGTTAACTAGAAGTGCCTATGGACTGTTTTAATATAAAATTTGGCTTTAGTTAGACATGGGCATGCTTGTAAACTGTTTTAATTAAATAATTGGAGAGAGATTGTGTTGTCACATGACACTCCCACTTGATCCCCTCTTTCTCTCTCTCTCTCTCTCTCTCTCTTCATGAATCACATATCTTTCTATGTTTGTCATGAACATTCTTTGAATAGTTAAAGATGACAAATTTTTCTCTCGCCGGACCAGTCAAGGAAGGTTCGCAAAAAGAGAGAGAGAGAGAGAGAGAGAGAGAGAGAGAGAGAGAGAGAGATGGGTGGGGTTGGAGGATGGGAGCTGACTGTATCTTATGAAGGCACATATTTTTTTAAATTAAAATATCAGGTATATTTTTGTTACCAGCTCGTTTTCACATAGTGTAAGAAAATGTAATAAATGCTATGCCAACTCACAAAATGGTCGTATTTTGGAAAACATCAGAAAAAGAATCGTGTATTATAGGAACTTCTGCAGATTAATATAAATATATTTGATTTCAAATTCTTGCTTTAGTTTGATATTGATTTTCCAAATGAAAAATTATGGCTCCCAGAATTGAGAATTGCTAGACCCAAAAATGTCTTGATTTCTTTTAGAATTAGTGTGCACGGTAATAATCCTTTTGGACTTGTATGTGATTGTATTGAAGATTGGTTGCAGTAGGGTATTGTTCTCTGGTTGAATGTCTTCTGTTCTTTGGCTTTTCTTGCTCCAAAATTGGTCTATTTTTCAGGTATATAGAGTTTTATGATGTGATGTCAGTCCCTATGGCCATAGCACTCTCTGGGCAGCCTCTTCTTGGTCAACCAGTAATGGTGAAACCTTCAGAAGCTGAAAAGAATCTTGTTCAGTCTACTACAACTGTGAATGCAGGAGCTGCTTCATATTCTGGAGGTGCTAGAAGGTTGTATGTTGGCAACTTGCACTTCAACATAACAGAAGATCAACTTCGTCAGGTGAGAAGTTGCTTGTATTTGTCTGGAAATAGTTTATAAAGTTTATAACTTTTTCTGTGACCTAGAATTAGATCAATTATTCCATTCTTCGTAAGCTTGATGGGTTTGATTTGGTTTGGTATCTGATCTATCTTTTTTATAGAAGTTCTATATTAATGTTAAAACTTGTCGTCATAATACAGTTTCATCGACTTTTCAGGTTTTTGAACCATTTGGTACTGTGGAGTTGGTGCAATTGCCTCTTGATGATACCGGGCACTGCAAAGGCTTTGGTTTTGTTCAGGTGAGTTAAGTAACATCATGTTTTCTTGACAAAGTATCACAAAAATGGATTTAGAGAAGAAAATCCAAGGGAAAAGATTGTATAGCAGTACCATAATTTCATAGTTACCTTAAATGTAATGATTCCGTAATCTTTGTTGAATGATCCAACAATTTTGGCTCCTTTCCTTTCACAGTAAAGAACTTGACTGTAAACTTGTATTCGAAGAAAAATATTTTGTGAGAAATGATTCATTCTTTTGTTTTTAGGCTACTATAGAAAATATATATTCCCCCTAAGAATAGGAACAGTAAAATGTTTAGACCCTATACTTCTCATTGCTGAATACAAGAGAAAGGTATAGAAAAAGGTGAAAACGGTGGTTGTTCCCTAGTGATAGTCTGATACTACGAATAATGGTTGTGTAACATGGGTGTGCTTTTTCTATTAAAAAGTTTGTAAAAGTTTATGAAAAGCCTTATTGTTGAAATTGAGACATTCTCATAGAGAATGACTTAGCTTGCACTGTGAGAGGGAATGCTTTTTTTTGTCTGACCAATCACTAAGAAATTGAAATGCCAAAAAAATTATTAAATATTTATATAAAACAAATGGAGCCTCGTTAATATTTTTCTCAGCTGCTGCCAACTCTTGCCTAATTAAACTTAGCATCTGCTTAATGGTAATATTTCTGTAAAATAAATCGTACCTGTATTTTGTTTCACTGTAGTTTGCACGTCTTGAAGATGCTAGGAATGCCTTAAATTTAAATGGACAAGTGGAGATTGCTGGTCGGGCAATCAAGGTAAGTTGGTTGCCTCTCTTTCTGTTTCTAGTTTTGTGCTCCCTACATTAGTAGATGGGTTTTAGAATGGGCTATCTTTTATGTTAATTCATATGCTTTTTGATTTTATGTTCAGGTGTCAACTGTTACTGACCAAACAGGAATGCAAGATGGTGGGACAAATGCTGGCGATTTTGATGATGATGAAGGCGGTGGTTTGGTTAGTAACTCCTCTCTAATTTGTTCTTGGCCTTGGCCAATAGTATATAACTGCTTATGCTAAATGTCACGGTGTGTCTCTGTTCTTTGTTAATAGAATAATCCCCTGTTTCGTATGTGGTGAATTTAAAGAGAGTGTAATATGTTTATTATGAACAGCCCTCAAATTGTTAGTATTTAAAATTCTCGTATACCAATTATATGTACTTTGTTGCATTCAAATTCATTTTGCTCAGTCAGCAAACTCACGGAAGCCAACCCTATCTTGCTCAAATTTCAGGCTCTGAATGCACGTTCTCGAGCTATTCTGATGCAAAAGTTGGATCGCAGTGGCACTGCCTCAAGGTTTGCCTCTGCTGAAGATAATTTTTGTTTTTCATTTTCATGGTTTGTCTGGCTGTTCTAACTTCAGCCTCAATTTGCAGTATTGCTGGTTCAATAGGAACTCCTGTTGTAAGTGCTGGCCTTGCCATACCTGCAGCACCAATTCTTGGAGCTGCACCTGGTGTTTCTCCTGCTGTTGCTCCTCTTATGGCAGGTGCTGTTCCTGGTCTACCTGGACTTCCAGGTGCAGGCATTCAACATCCGGCTGCTGCAATTCCTTCTGTGGATATGATTGGTGTCCCAAGTGAATGTTTATTATTGAAGAATATGTTTGATCCTAAATTAGAGGTGGACTGATTTGCCTGATTTGCATATCTTGAGGTTTCCTCAGTTTTTACTCTTCCTAGTTTTTGCTTGAACTTTATTATATTTTGGCAGACGGAACCGGACTTTGATTTGGATATTAGAGAAGATGTTCAAGAGGAGTGCTCCAAATTTGGAAGTTTGAAGCATATTTACGTGGACAAGTAAGCACTCTATTTATTTGCTGTTGTGGGTTTGCAAATTTGGAAGCCTTTCAACTACTTCTGATTGTTGCATTGACCTTCTTCTTCAAACAGGAATAGTGCTGGTTTTGTATATTTACGATTTGAGAATACACAAGCTGCAATAAATGCACAACGTGCGCTTCATGGAAGATGGTTTGCTGGCAAGATGATTACTGCAACATATATGGTATGGTAATATATTTTCATTATCATTTTTCAATTCACTCTGAGAATATTTTGCAAACTAAAATAGTGTTAATGCAGGTGCCCCAGGTTTATGAGGCTAAATTCCTGGATAGCAGATAGGACTACAGACAGATTTTGGATGTCGAGAGAATATCATATCAGATTTTATGTTAATTCTTCCTTCATTGTATTACAAGGATGTTCTAACATTAGGTGTTATTTCGATTAAAAAAAAAAAAAATGGAAGTAGTTAGTTTCTGTTGTGTTCTCGTTTCGTTTGTATTTTGGTTAATGAAGTTGAAGGCGTTTGCAGCATACTTGATACTGTTATAGACTTGTTTTATGTGGACAACTTAAGTCAAGGTCCTTTTTTCTAGATTATAGGATTTTGTCATTTGATCTTTCGTGCAAGACACATTTTCCAGATTATATTTTCATTTGGAATTGTGCATATCGTCTTGAGACCAAAGTCTTTCTTCTTCTTCTTGCTCCGACAACTTTTTCGATCGCAGTTCTTTTACTGTTGATGTAGACACTGTTGGTCAAATCTCATTCTTGATGGAAAATGATCAAAGAAACAGAGGGAGAATTAATTGCTATTACGTTTCTCCTTTTTGGAAAAATACACTGTTCGATCCGTGCTTTTTCTAAAATATAAAATTATATCCCTAACTTGCTTCTCGTCCAACAATTACATCCTTCTGTCTATTTTAGTTGTGAGAGAAAATGCTGGGAAAAATAAAATAGGTCCCTAAGTTATAATGAAATTGACATATAAATTTTTGCATGTTTAAAAAGTGATTCAGTAATTCCTAAAGTTATAGTCCATCCAATAATGAAATTCTTCTGTCAATATTTTATCACTTTTGCCATTAATTGCATACGGAATGATCGAAATGTCCTCGTTTCAAAGGGAAAACCCTTTGCCTCTTTCGTTGGAGGGAAAATTGGGCAGTCTCTCTTACAAACAATGCCAAAGCAAAGAAAAAGGAGAGAGAGCAGTTGTCGATATTGAGTGTTTGGTTGAAAAAAATGAGGGTTTTTGAGTGTTTAAAGAGATTGATATCATAAAGAGGAGATCAACAACAGAAAGAGGAGATATACTCATGAAAATGAGATAAACTTGAAGAAGGCAAAAGAGCCAACTTTATCCATGTTTTTCTTATTCTTGACTAGTTTAGTAGAAACGAGAGAAAAGATTGATATATTTGTTAATAAAATTGTAAAAGTAATTGCCGATAACACTTTGATTGTTGGTATAAAATTGGGAATTTAGGGTTCAATGATGTTGGTTAAAAATTAGCATCTATTGATGATTCCTCTGTTAAATGTAGGATGTTGCTACCTGATTCATATGCACTTTAGATGACCTACATAAATGAGACAAAAACACTTGAGCCCATTGACCCAGATAAGTTGTTATATATAGTTTTGCTTAAATGTGTACATGGACAATTTAAAATACCTGCTGATGAGTTTCTGAAAATAGTCGCTGGTGCAAATTTAAAGATTGAAAAGGATATTGATATTTTGAGTATGTTTCAAAAGTTTAAAGACAATATTATGGTGTCTTTACGTATTAATACAAAGAATGTCACTGTTGATGTTGATGTTATGGTACCTGAAAGTGACAATGCTAATGTTGAGGTGTGTGGATAGAGTAGTGTTACTCGTAGAACACCAACAATTATATCTAATGATGTGATATGGGACAACTTTGGAGGTGTTGATATTGGTAGGGTTGTTAGTAGAGGCATATTTGGGAGGAGAGGAAGAGTTGGTTTGAGGAGCAGGGGATCACATGGATACAGTAGCATGCTTAGAGGCAAGGGGTTTGTTAATGGTAGGGGTGTGAATTGGAGGCAACTAACATAGGCAAGGGGTTTATGGGTGGTAGGGGTGAAATTGTGGTTGGGTCAAACACAAACATTGGGCTTGTGGGTTTAGTAGATGGGCCTAATACTGAAATGAGTGAGAATTGCAATATGGGGCATGGTGTTAATGAAACCCAAACACAAGAAAGGGCCCAATCCACAGAAAACAGGGCGCTAACAGCAGACAGAGGCAAGATAGAAATAAAAGAAATAGGTATATTGAGAAAAAGAAATCCAACTCCAACCACACCATTAGATGACAAAAAAAAAAAAAAAAGAAGATTCTGACAGTGATGATGAAGATTATGCATTCAGTAGCAACATTGATGATAAGGTAGAAGAGGATACTATCCATTATGATGAGGGGACTCATAGTATGCAGGCTGATAAGAGACAGATGGACTTTGAAGATGAAATTGTGGCTGATGATGATAGTGATTGCATAAGCAATTTGAACTTAGATGGTGATGAATATGATAGATGAAATGATGCTGATGATGATCCTTTCAAGTATATGTTGCTAATCCTTATATTGCAGATGGATGCTAGGATATTGTGTTCTTTATTTGTCAGACATTTGATGATGTCAAAGCATTTAGAGAAGTTCTAGCTGACTATGCAATAAAAGGTGGTTATGTTTTGAAGAGGCACAAGAATGATGGCTTGAGTGTTATTGCAACATGTAAAGGTCACAACATTCATGGTTAGAACAATTCAAGAAGATCATCAATGCATTAGACCTCTTGGGAATAAAAATCCAGATGCTAAAGCGGATGGATTAGTAAAGAAATTAAAGATGAACTAGAGAGTGATCCATACCTTAGTTATGATCTCATGCAATCCAAATTAATAAAAGAGTGGGGGTATTAAACCATAGAAGTGGCAACTAAATTGAGCTAGGAATAAAGCTAGGGAAGAGGCAGAAGAGTCTTATAAACAGAGTTTTAGGCAACTCAAGAGGTACTTAGAGGAGGTACAGAGGTACAATCCTGGGACTTTCATTAAATTTGAGCCCAAGCCTAGGAACAGTTGGAGGAGCCCATTGTTTTTGGTCGTTTGTTCATATGTTTTGAATCCATGAAAACTGGATTCCTAAATGGATGTAGGCCTTTCATAGGCCTTGATGAGTGTCATTTAAAAAGGCCTTTTGGTGGGGTGAGTTTAAGTGCAGCGAGTATTGATGGTAATCGCAGAGTCCTACCACTTACTGTGGCGATTGTGGACTCAGAATGTAGCTCTACACGGAGATTTTTTTTAGACTGTCTTTCTCAATGCATTAGAGATGGGAGTAGTACTCAAATTTAGACTTTCATATCAGACCGACAAAAGGTAATGTAATTCTTTTTTTTCTTTTTTATTATTGCTTTTGTGCTTAATTTCATTTGCTTTAATGTTTCTTTTAAATATGAAAGTTATGCAATATGTTTTGTAGGGTTTAATAGATGCAGTAAAAGACATGGTTCCTAAGTTCAAGGCACAGATTTTGTTGCCAACACATTTTTATGAACTTCAAAAAGCAATATCCTGGAGGTGTCTTTAGAAAGGATTTTTGGGCTGCAGCAAAGGCAACTTATATTCAAGAGTTCAAGGTTTACATGAAGAATATTGAGAACAAGATGGATGGTAAGCCCCATGCATGGCTTATGAACATACCACTACACCAATGGGCAAGACACTCATTCGCATGTGATTGTGAAAGTGATGACATCACCAATAATTCTGAATCCTTCAACTCATGGCTTGGAAAATCAAGATCACAACCAATAATCAAGATAATTGAAAATTTGAGGAAAAAGTGCATGGTAAGATTACACAAAAGGTATTCCAGGGCTGCCACAGGGGAGCGAGGGATAACTCCAAAGTGCCAACAAGTTCTTGGAAATTGATAAAATATAATAGGCACTGTAGAATGATTCCGAGCATTGATGATGAGTTTGAAGTGATGGAAGGGCCCTTTAAGTTCTGAGTTGATTTAAGAAAAATAATTTATAGTTGTGGAGCTGGGACATATCTGGCTTGTCTTGTAAGCACCCTTGTATGGGGATTGATTACAAAAAGGTCAACACTGAAGATTTTTGCCATGAATTTTTCACCATTGAGACTTATATGAAAGCATATGCAGGGGTGATTCATCCATTGTATAACTTGGACCTTGAACCACAATCAAAATCTGATGTTATTTACCCTCAAAATCCAAAGAGGAAAGTAGGTAAGCCTAAACAAAGAAGAATCTTCCAAGAGGGAGAAGCTGGACCTTCTACCTAAACAGCAAAGATTGGGTCCATTTGATGACGAATATGCAATCAACTAGGCCATAACAAGAGGATGTGTGAAAAGGCACCCCCTATTGCTAGAGTAAGTAATTCACTTAAGGCAACACCTAAGCTTTTAATTTTTGATGTCTATCTCATTTACTTGAGTTGTGCTAACTGTAATCCTACTCTTTATCGCAGGCATAGAAGAACAACAATGGCTAAGGGAGCATATAGATATTCTTTTTGTTATTTTTGTGTCCATGTTGATATTTTGCAATCTGTGTTGATTAAGGACAAGATTATGGTGTCCTTTTGATGTTAAATTGATTTTGTGCCAAACTATATGGTATTGATGATTTTATACTAAATTATGGTATTAATGATTTTGTACCAAATTATATGGTATTGATGATACAATCTTCTATATGAAAGTGTTTGATCTTTATTTATCATAGATTATTTTGTAGGCATTTCCATTCAAATTTACTTTCATGAAAATATGTTTATGGTTTAACATCAAGAATTGATTTTTCTGTTGTCATTTTCTTGGCATTTTGTTGCTATTTTGTTGTCATTTTTCTACCACACAAACTTAGGTCTTATGACCAATATTCATCTTTCCATGATAACAACAAAGGATAGGTACCATAAAATTTTCATGAACATAAAACTACTAAATACCTCATTATAAATCCATACAATCCCTTTTCCTTTACAACAAAACCTACACCTAAACCAAACCAAAACATTCCATCAATAATATCAGAAGCCATGTACAACATAAATCTATCTAAGATTGCCAACCAACACCACGACTAACATAAACAACAACATTACATAGATTATACAGGTGAGAAGAAAAAACTTTAGGTATACAACTAACGTATCTACTCCCTCTAGCTTTCCCGCGAGCTTCCTAATTTCAGTTTGCAAAAAAATTACTTCATCTCCCAGGTCTCTCAGACTAGACACTTCTTTTTCCTCCCTTTTTGCAAAATCAATTTCAATCCTTAGATTCATTGTTCCTCCAAAATCGACGTGTTTGCACCAACCCAAAAAAGATCCACAAACATTATTTTGACAAAAGTAGTGCAACCTATTTCTGATCCTCGAAGTTTCTAATATGTGAATCCCTACCTTCTTTCACAATTGCAATAGATGTTACTAAATCCTGGCCATCCACTGTCACCGGCAGAGCTTGAGATGGATATGGGACAATGCTCTCCTAAACCCTAATCCCCTAACTTCAACGCAATATATCATTTGAAGAAATTAAGATAGATTAACGTTTAGAACCCATGTCATTAAGGGTATGAACAATCTTTTTCTTTTATTCTCTCTCTATAGACCACTTATTTTTAGTCTGACTGACTGCAAAAGTGATAAAATATTGATAGAAGGATTTTATTATTGGACGGATTATAACCTTGGGGATGACTGAATCACTTTTTAAACATGCAAAGATTTATGTGTTCTTATTTTTATTTTTCCGAAAATTTTTACAATACGAAATTAATTCTAACCTCTCATATCTCAAACGCAAACCAAAACAAAAATAGAAACGTTTACATCAGAACTCAATCACACAGTCTAAGCAAAAAGACAATACACCTTTCTCAAACTTCCACCTCTAAATACAACAGCTGAAGAACAAGTTAATATCCTTACACTGTTAATTAAAACACATGAAAACTCACAAAAATTAAGCTTAATCAAATCCTACAACAAATTCATATTTTCAAAACTCAAAAAGTTGCATTAAGATTAATTAAAATCTATCAGAAAAATATTTACCATAGTGGAAGAAGCTCAAATTGAAATCACCAAATCCAAAAGAAAAAGCTTGAAAATGTTTGTAAAATTTGAAACTCTATGAAATGGAACACAGTTACTGTAAAAAAATGCAAGCAATACTAAAAATACTATTAAAACAGATCGAGCCCTAATAAATTGAATCAAAGATCCAAAGCCAAAAAAAATACTAATGGGTTTTTAAAAAAATCCAAAATCTAAAGTGATACAAGCTAAAAAATATAGAACTCACCTACATATTAACTGTTGCAAGAGGGACAATGATGAGCAACAAAAATTATCAAGCGTATACCAGAATCCAAAAAAATTCTCAATAATCATGACAACAAAAAAAAAAAAAAAAAAAAAAGCAAGCAATTACTAAAAATACTATTAAAAAACAAGATCTAGAGCCCTATAAATTGATTCAAAGATCAAAGCCAAAAAAAAACTTAATGGGTTTTTTAAAAAAATCCAAAATCTAAGTGATACAAGCTAAAAAATATAGAACTCACCTACATATCTAACTGTTGCAAGAGGGACAATGCATGAGCCAACAAAATAGTATCAAGCGTTTATACAGAATCCAAAAAATTCTCAATATCATGCAGCAACAAAAAAAAAGAAAAAAAAGAAAAGAAAAAAGAAAACTCTTTGTTCCATGTATTTGACCAAAATCAAAAGGATCGTAATAGTAAGTTCCCAAAAAACAATGAAAATGTTCAAAATTCCAAACCCAAAATTGGTTAGAAAATTGTGGGCGAAGTCAATTACTTGCTTTAAAAGAGCAATTGTGTCGAGATAAAAAGAAAAAGTGGATTTTGGAATATTGAAAAAGTACTTAGCAAGAAAAGAAAGAAAAAGGTGGTTTATGAAAAGAAATGATCTATTAATTGGATTTGAAGAAAAAAAAAAAAAAAAAAAAAAGAAAGAAAAAAAGAAAACTCTTTGTTCCATGTATTTGACCAAAATCAAAGGACGTAATAGTAATTCTCCCAAAAAACAATGAAATGTCAAATTCCAAACCCAAAATTGGTTAGAAAATTGTGGAAGTCAATTACTTGCTTAAAAGGAGCAATTGTGTCGAGATAAAAAGAAAAAGTGGATTTTGGAATATTGAAAAAGTATTTAGCAAGAAAAGAAGAAAAAGGTGGTTATGAAAGAAATATTATTAATGGATTTGAAGAAAAGAGTGAGTCTTTGGTTGTTAATTATACGAGTGTTTCTAGATCAAGTAGTTCTAAAGGTGGTGGTGGTGACCTTTTTAGATGAGAGGCTAGAAGTTTAATTTTTGCTGCAAGAAATTTTGGTGTTAATAATGCTTAAAACAAGAACAAGAAGTGAGTTTAGCGGTGAAACAAAGTTGAGGATGCTAGAACAAAATTTTAGAAAAGGGCCAAATAGGAAAAGTGTTGATAGTTCTTCAGGGCAAAAAAAAAAAGTATTTAGCCCATTTTCTCAATTCTATATTTAATTAATTTTTCTTAACAAATTATATAGCGGGTTCCAACTTTAGTTTTAATAAATATTTATAAAAAATTTTCATATATTAAGTGCAATGAAAAATTACGAGCTAAATTGAAAAAAAGAAATTTAAATTGACTTTCTTAATCCCACTAAATAAATTTAAAAATTAAAATTAGCCTTTATTCCGATTTTATATTATAGGATTGGGAATAAGATTTAGAATATGGGCCTTGGCTTAGCCCGAAAGACACCGTCTTATAAATAGATTCTTGAATTGTCAGCATAAGTGAACGATATCGATTCTTCGTTATGGCGTCTTCAGCAATGGTTTTGGATCCCAAACCTGTACTGGAACCGCTGCCGTCGATTCCCAAACAACCCTTAACCGACCAGTCCAACTCCGACGAAGATGATCTCTACAGCCGTCTAAAGTCCCTCCAACGTCAGCTAGAGTTCATCGACATACAGGAAGAGTATGTCAAAGACGAGCAAAAGAATTTGAAGCGTGAGCTCCTCCGGGCGCAGGAAGAGGTAAAGCGGATCCAATCGGTGCCGCTTGTGATTGGGCAATTTATGGAGATGATCGACCAGAACAATGGCATCGTCGGCTCCACTACAGGGTCCAATTACTATGTCAGAATCCTTAGCACAATTAATAGAGAGCTTTTGAAGCCTTCTGCTTCTGTCGCTCTGCACCGTCATTCTAATGCTCTTGTCGACGTTTTGCCTCCTGAGGCTGATTCCAGTATTTCTCTACTCAGCCAATCCGAGAAACCTGATGTCAATTACAATGTAAGTGCTGTTTTTAAGTTGAATTAGGGTTTTCTGTATTATTAAGTATTTCCAATTTGAATATTCTGGTGATTGCGGAATTAGGATTTTTGTTTCTCGAGGCCAAATACAGTCTACTTTTTATGTTCATTGAGTTCGATTAGGTTTTTCTAATTTTCTGGAATTAGTATTGAGATAGAAAATTTTCTGCTTTCTAGAATTTATTTCTGTTGGTGTTATCATTACTAGTATTATTTTGGCCTTCTCTGTTGGTGGTATCTGCTATTAGAAACTACTATTTTTTTTTTTCCTGAATGAGGAATGACAGTTTTTATTCTTGACTCTATTTGTGAACTTGTAAAAATAGCAAATCCAAGATAATTGCTTGCTCTTGTGTAATTTCAAAATTTCTTTACTCACTTGATGAGCAATTGGCTCTTGAGAAATTAGGGTGTTTTCTTTAACTATCTATTCCATCAACAACATTATTTCACGTTTTCTACTGTTCTTGTTTTGGTAGGATATTGGAGGATGTGATATTCAAAAGCAAGAAATTCGTGAGGCAGTGGAACTGCCTCTTACTCACCATGACCTTTACAAACAAATTGGAATAGACCCCCCTCGTGGTGTATTGCTTTATGGCCCCCCTGGTACTGGGAAAACCATGCTTGCCAAGGCTGTTGCTAATCATACGACTGCTGCCTTCATCAGAGTTGTTGGCTCTGAGTTTGTTCAGAAGTACTTGGGCGAGGTATGTTTTAAACATTCAGTCATTTTTAAGTGTTTATGATACAGTAAAAGGAAAACTATGCGTCTAACTTTAGAGTCTCAATAATAGTGACCTATTTGTATGGAACTCTGAGCTCTCACTCTCTCTCCATTTGTATGTGATGGTAATATGAGATCCCTCAAGGACTCTCATCTCGTTTAACAACATTTTTTAGGACTTAAACGGGAGCTTTACTATAGGGTTAAATGTTAAATTCAATGAATAACCTAGTAGTGATGGAGGATCAGTGTTTTAACCTTTTAAGATGGAAGGTGGATAGATGGAATTTGTTAATTTTCTTTATTTTGAAGTGATTTCGAATCCAGAAATCATTTGGAATTGTGGATTGATATTATTGGTTGGAAATGTAATTTTCCGTTAGCAGGTGACTTCATTTTTTTTTTCTTTAATCAAATCTAGGTTTATATGGCTTTGTAATATCTTTTTTAACTGCAGGGACCCCGCATGGTTCGTGATGTCTTTCGCCTTGCTAAGGAGAATGCACCTGCGATTATTTTCATTGATGAGGTAGATGCTATTGCTACTGCTAGATTTGATGCTCAAACTGGAGCTGATAGAGAAGTTCAAAGAATCTTGATGGAACTTCTAAATCAGGTATGAGTTAACAAAATTTCAGAGTATAGAACACAATACTTCTGGATTCTGTGTGTAAAACATTGACATCAAGTTTGGATATTGATTTTGTAAATGATCCATAATCAGCTTCCTGACTCATATGCCTTCTGCTTTAGATGGATGGGTTTGATCAGACGGTGAATGTTAAGGTCATTATGGCAACCAATCGGGCAGACACCTTGGACCCTGCACTCCTTCGTCCTGGAAGGCTAGACCGAAAAATTGAATTTCCATTGCCTGATAGACGGCAAAAGAGGCTTGTTTTCCAGGTATTTCTTTATAGTTGTATGTGACAATCAAGTGGTCATCAGAAGACTAGGAGATTCATGAAGTCGTTGTGTGTGAACCTTTTCTAAAGAGTTTGATGCCATTTTTATTGTCTTATTACTTTATAATTTGTTTGCCTTTGGAACTTTTGATGTTTCAGCACATGAGAAAAGGGTTTTAATGGTTCCCTCCCTCTTGTACAGGTTTGCACCTCTAAAATGAATCTTGGCGATGAGGTAGACTTGGAGGATTATGTTTCTCGGCCAGATAAAATTAGTGCTGCTGAGGTTAGTAGGTTTTGTTTTTCATAACAGTAGCCATTTTCTTAAATATCTTGTTGTATGATTTGCATTTTGATTTTTTATTGGGGGTTCATTCAACCCAACTCATCTGTCAAGATATTAGGAGTTAAAGCAGATTAGATATTGAAACTAAAATTTGTGCTTTTTGATCTCCTGTGATACACATTATGCGAAAAGTTAAAGTACCTTTTTCTTAGTTTTCTTATAAAATTTGACTAGTATTAAGTGGAATATAAGATAATACACATGCAACTAAATTTCAGGTTATGCATAGCATTGTTAGCAATATTTCAAGTGGTTGTAGAAATGCATGGCTGCTGATCAATTGTAATTGTGATGTATCCTTAATGCTTGTTATTAGCTATTAGTGGCTGGTATGCAATGGCTTGTTGAAAAATTGCAAGTGACCTATTGTTCCTGTATAATATTTGTTTGTGCAAAAAAATCTTGGTAGTTATCCTTCTAACAGTCGAATTCCTTTGTATATATTGGATGGTCAAACTCGTATTTGGCATTCAATGCTCTTGGTAGCTCTTTAAATGGATGGCTCTTTGCAGATTGCAGCTATTTGTCAGGAAGCAGGCATGCATGCAGTGCGAAAAAATAGGTATGTCATACTGCCAAAGGACTTTGAAAAAGGTTACCGAACCAATGTGAAGAAGTCAGATACAGATTTTGAATTCTACAAGTGAAGAAAACCCTTTCTAGTTGAAATCATTGCTTTATCAATGTGATAGTTTACTCAGGCCATCTTTGTTTCACTATGGAATTAGTAACTATATACAATTCTTGGATTTCACTATGGAATTAGTAACTATATACAATTCTTGGAATCAAATGCCAAATTTTGGTTTGGTTTACAAAGAATTCACTTTTTTAATATATACTTTTTATGTTTGATAAACTTCAATGCATTAAATGATGTATATTTTCAAGCGTTAGCTAAAAGCAAATTCTATTTTATTATTTAAAAACTAATAGTCGGAACATGACTTTTTTTAATTTTGATATTGTTTCAATTCTAAGCTGAATAAAATCTTTATTATCATGTGAATGAACTAATAGTTCAGCACGTTTAACACTCTTTGTTTCGACGCGGAGGAGGATGGAAAGGGGTAGGAGTTGGGGTGGCCTTTTTTCGGTTTTTAGGACCGGAATCGGTGGGAATCAGAACCGGAACCGGGGCTCTATGGTTTGGTTTTGGTTCAAACTTTTGAGGAACCGTGAACCGGTGGTTCTAAGAATTGGTCAGAACTAGTGGTTCCACCCGGTTTCAATAACTTTTTTTATTTTTTCAAATATGTTTGTGAAATTTTCAAATTAACCTTCTTAACAACTATATAATGTCTTTTTTCTAAAAAAAAAAAAAGGTTCCAAGCCTTTTTTTTAATAAATAAATTAGGTTCAGCCTTTTTTTATTTTTTCTTTCAGTTTTTTCTAAAAATTATTTCGTAAATATTTAAATTTTAAATTTTCAACAAAAAAATTTTTTTTCTAGCTTTTGATTTTATAATGCCGAATAAATAATCGGAGAACAGACTGGAACTGTTGATTTGGAACCGTTAAGAAATCAAAATCGAAATTGTAACCGTTTGGTTCTAAATTGTAATTGGAACCGTAAATTTTCGAATCAGTTCCGGTTTTAGATCTTTTTAAACAGGAACTGTTGGTTCTGAAACCGTGGCCACCCTAGGTAGGAGCACTTTCTTATTTGGTTGAATACATTATTGGAAAAGAAAGATGGAAAGGAGTGGGAAAAAGATTGCAAATTTTGGTTAAAAAAATAGAAGAAAATTCCTGGCATCTTCTTTGTTTTTCATAATACTTTGTCTAAACCAGTTTTACCCTCATAGCCACAGCCTCAAGCTCCAATTTTAAGAGCTCTACCAGCTGAATCCTTATCCTCTACTTCTTAAAGCTTCACCCGGCAGAGATTTCCTCTCTCCAAGAACACTCGCCGCCAGAAACAACTACAGAGCCCAAAACTAATTTACCCTGTACATTAGTTCCATTACCCTTGCCAATCTATTCTGCTGAAAAGAGCTCTTTCGTATTGCGGAGCTCCAATTGAATCGGGTAAACGGTTCTGCTGGTGATTTGGAAAGATAAAGCACTATAACGATGATCAAGAGAAAAATTTGGATCATTTTCCCAAGTGCAAAGGCCATTCTGCTGATCTAAAAACTTCATTTTTTAGTATTCCAAAATTACCCAAACGGTGAGCGAGAATCCACAATAAAGCCTTTGTAAGTACGCAAAACTGAAACTGCCCACGCCACACCAACGTTGCTGTAAGCTTCTGACTTTTCTGTTTCTACGAAGCATAATCTCGAAATAAACACTTCAAATGCTCCAAAGGAGATAGTCTTGTCCATAGTCAAGGATGTTAAACTATGCCAAAATCCTATAACTTTCAGCTCAAGTGACTCCAAAATCCATTCACTTCACTGTGATCCACTGGTCATCACCATCCAAATGGATAAATTCCAGATTAGACAGATTTTAGCTAGTACTAGGAGTGCACATTAACCTTATATAGGACGTAGAACTAAAATTGAGATTTGCAAAGTAGAAATTTCACAAATTTCCTTTTCCTCTGGTAGGACTGGGAGACAAGACAGTTACATCCCTAGGTTTATTGAACCTAGGGGGATGAGTAATAGAAAAGGAAAACTTATGAAGAGTTCATTATGATAGACATCTCATTATCATATAACCCGATCCTTGGGCGTCCCATCTTCAACAATTATGGTATTGTCAGTAACATGCTTATGGATGTCAAGAATCAGCTTAGAATTGCTATATGGAGAACACTAAGGTCATAACCAAAGTGATTTTAGTCATTGGAATGCTTGAAAAATTCAAGAAAGATAGCTCCTGAACCTGTGAATTCAGTCCAGGTTATTGACATTGGTGAAAAAAAACGAATCAGGATGGGTAATGCCTTACAAGGACAAGACAAGCAAGCTGGAACATAAATTTACACTTGAGAAAGTCGCAGGCATAAATCCGTCTATAGTGACGCACGAACTTCAACATTGATCGTTCCATTAAGCCCATGAAATAGAAAAAGAGTAAATTCACCCCAGATCGAGTTAAGATCATCCAGAAAGAAGTTGACAAGCTTCTCAAATATCCGACCCGGTTAGTCAAATGTGGTATTCGTTGAGAAGCCCAACGACAAATGACGATTGTGACCTAAATAAAGCATGCTCCAAAGATTATTATTATCTACCGTTGGTATATCTATAGCAGGGTACACAATTTGCTCTCTGCTAGATGCCGTATCAGGTAACCTTCAGAGATCATGATGGACCTTCTGAACACGGAAAAGATACCCTTTATCACAAAAATTGGGATATATCGCTACAAAGTCATGGCATGTGACCTAAAAAATTGTAGGAACGATTTACCAAAGGATGATCAACAAAATTTTTAAATGTTTAATATGCAAAACAATGGATTTTTTTTTTTTTTTAAATGGATGATATGATCATAAAAGGTTGAAAACTTCAGAGTACACCTGAGATATCTCTAAGATTTTCGACATCCTAGAAAAAAATGGTAATGAAACTCAACCCTAAAAAATGCACTTTTGGTGTTAAAGCTGGAAATATATGACTTGAAAAAGAGACATTGAGACTAATTCAAAAAACTGTGAATAATTCTCTCTCTCTCTCTCTCTATATATATATATATATATTACTTCTTCTCTCTCTTTCATAAATTTTTTATAGACTGTATTTCTTTTGTGTTTTTTTTTTTTTTTTTTTTTTTTTTTTGAAAAAAGAGACATTAGACCTAATTCAAAAAACTCGGTGAATATTCTCTCTTCTCTCTCTCTCTATATATATTCATATATATTACTTTCTTTCTCTGCTGCTTTCAAAATATTTTTATAGAACTGTATTTCTTTTGTGTTTTTTTTTTTTTTTTTTTTTTTTTTTTTAACAGCCATGTTGAACTACTTTCCTATACATTTCCCTCCTAATTTTTTTTTTTTTTTTTTTTTTTTTTTAACAGCCAATGTTGAACTACTTCCTATCATTTTCCCTCCTAAATTGATGGAGAATAGTAAAGTCTTTCATCAATAACGACTAATTGCATTTTCTTTTAGAAAAAAACAACTAATTGCAAGTAGTGAAGTTCAACTACTTCCTACCTGTTTTTCCTCCTAAATTATTTAAGGATATTAAAGGACTCAGATCTCACGACCAAATGTGAAATCCCCGTGTACATTAACTAGTAAACCAAACTGTTTTCAACACAAACCCCTTTCAATGAATAACGTCGTTAATATAGTTTGTGGTTTTGATGTAGATCAAAATAATAAAATAATCCAAGTAGCACTTTCCTGTTGGTTGGAAGCGTATTTTTAAAGCAAATCTCATTAAATTTGTGTAGCTTTGTGGTATTTTTCATTAGGGTCCCCTTCATTGATGATGCTATTGCTACAACTAGATTTGATGCTTCCATAGATAAGTTCAACGAATCTTCATGAACTTATGACTAAGATGAGTTAACAAAATTTAAAATATATAATATAATACTGTTTTTCATATATAACATTTATTTTGAGTTTATATAGATTTTGTGCATGATCCATATGTAGTTGATTTTGCTTTTTATAGCAGTATATATATATTTTTTTTACTCAGTTATAGTTGTTATGTATAGTTAAGACTTACTGCTAGAGCTATCAAAACCAGCTGTCCGGCCCGGTCCGCACAGGCTTGATCTCAAAACGGGCCGAGCTAAAAAAACTCGTTTAAAATGGGCCTCTATTATTCAAGTTCGGCCCGGCCTGTGCGGGCCCGAGGACGGGTCCGAACATATCCGTTTTGAAAGTTCATCTCTTTTTTTTTTTAATTTTACTATTTTTTTTTTGAATTTTTATTGGTTTTATATGTCCATTCAAAGAGCATTGATGTGGAAAAAAAGAAAAAAACATCTCCAAGAATTAAACCTAGGATCATTGGAAGTTTATTCAACGAGATTTCCATTATGCTTATTCTTCTTTTTATTTTAAAAAATTTAATAGTATGTATCTATATATTGTTCTAATGCGGGCCCCGCAGACCAGTCTGGCTCGGCCTACACAGGCTTTGATAAAAAATGGGGCTCAATTTTTTTTGCCTATATTCGAATAAATTGCGGGCGATCACAGGCTGTCTATTGGTTTAAGCCCGTTTTGACAGTACTACTTACTGTCATGCAAAGGGATGTTCAAAAGAACAGAATTGTTATTACAGAAATTTTGTGCTCTTTTATCTTACAAAGAATGCTCACGTTTGTTAAATTAGTTTTTCATGAACAAATAAGATATTGATTGAGGTGATAAAAAACTTCAATTCTCATAAATGTAAGAAAAATATTTACACTCTATGACCCGAAAAGATTAAACTTTCTAGTTAACACAAAAAGTTAATTTGTCACGGCTAATTTTTACTTTTTTTCTTGGCAGAATGAAAGTTACAAATTTGTGGCATTTGTGTCCCTATTATCTAGGCTAAACCATTAAAAAAAAATTTTCAATCTTGCAAATTGTATTAATTGTACTCTAAAATCAAGTTATCTTTGCTTGCTTGTAGTAACTTATGGTAATTGTTTTTAATTTTCTCCAATATATCTAAAATTGAATACTTAGATGAACAAGATGGCAGCTGCTTTTATTTATTTATTTATTTATTATTATTATTGAGGAGGAAATAAACCCTTAAACAGTAACACTTGGCCAGAATGGCAGCTGCTTTTGAATATATAGCTTCACAGAATGTATAGAACATATAGCTAAAAAAGATGTATAGAATATGAAAAGTTGTTAAAACAGTAAGAATGTAAATATGGTGATTTTTATTCTTTCCTTTTATGACTTTAAATTTACTTTATCGTATTCACACAAGG